TTCATGCACCGAATTGAATATGTTGGGTAGCAACGGACAGTGAACTATGAAGAACCTTAGATGGCAAAGAGAAGAAAGAGAATTAATTCAATCTGACCACCTAAAAAATATAAAGCCTTGGATACAGTGGCCGATGGAGCAGTGGCGACGGAACAGCGGACAGTGGACGGCCGAGATTGAATCTGTTGGGTAGCAGGTACTGAAAAAAGGTGTCGCTTGTTGTACCTTCAAATCTCAAAGGTGTCGCGTGTTGTACCTTCAAACGTTGCTACGGAGGATTCGCCGGAAATTAGGGTTTGTTCTTGAACAAAGACGGTGGAGTTTGGGGCTGAGCAACTTGATTTTCTATTAATATATTTCAATGTATTTTCATGTATTTCATTGTATTCGTTGTCTTTTTTTCATTGCAATTCAATGTATCTCGTTGTATTCCATGTATTTCGTTGTATTCACCGTCTTCTTTTTCATTGTATTTTCCATGTATCCTGCTGTATTCTATGTATTTTATTGTATTCACTGTCTCGCTATATGCCATAAACGTATTCATATGTTTTTTTTAATTAATAATTTATGTATTCAGATGTATTATATAATTTCTCTGAAGATTGCTATATTTTTGGGGTATTTTTCGGTTGAGAATCTTTTTTATAACTGAAAATCCAAAATTTGTGTGTTATAATTGAGTTTGTTGAGTTATATTAGGAGTCTATTATGTTAATTGATTCACTTTTCGTTTTAAAAACAGTGTAATCCCCTATTTCACGCCGTGAATATAGTCGAATACAATAATCTATCCAGCTGTAATCCCATGTTTCACTCGATGAATACACTCGAATACAACAACTGATTAGCTGGATTTCCCTGATTCACGCCTATTTTTGCTACTGTATTCATGAATACAATAGTTTAAATACATCAAATACATCTTATAACCACAGAAAAGGTATCTATAATCCGTAATATAGCAAATGGTATCTATAGATGGCTAATTACTACTAAAAGATAGTGCATTATGAAAATTTCCCTTTTTTTATCCCCTAAGCAAGCATTAAAGACCCATTTCTAAATTTTTTTCTTTTCTTCTTTCATCTTCTCCTAGTGTTGTGCACCCCAAAATTTCTCTGCCATTATTGTTCTCCTTCACCCCTCTTTCCAAATTCAAAGCCGAGATCTATTTGTTACATGTGAGTTGAGATGTTTAAAAAAAAACTTAATCCTCCATAATTTGGTTTCTTCGAAGATTCAAATCGGAGATTTAAAAAAAGTTGGATCTGAAGTTTCAATATATGAGTTGTGTTTTTTTTTTTTTTTTTTTTTTTTTTTTTTTTTTTTGCTGAAGCCAAGCTTCTCTCTACTATGGTTAATTGAAAACTTGAAGAATAAAAATCCACTATAAAGGTCGTTCGTAGCTTCGTCTTCAGAAATTGAGTTTTTTGAGTTTGTTAGTTATTTGGATTGAGTGTTGTCTCAATTAATTGAAAACATGAAGAAGAGTTCAAAACTTAAATTTGAAGTAATTTGGAGTAAAGTTAAACTAGTTTTGAGTTAAATTTAAGAAGAAGCTCAAGGAAGAAGAGGAACCAGTGAAGCTCTATTAATAGGATTTATTTGTATAATATATATAATATTGTACAATAGTGTATTGGAATATACAAACACCTCTTACACCCTATTATAGACTTTTATACAATATTTGATACATTACAAGTATTTTTGGTGTTGAAATGGAGGTGTAATGGAGGCTAGATATTGTAAGCATGTATAATAGCTGTTTGTACACACCTATACAATGCAGATATGTTATATAATTATATATATATATATATATATATATATATACACACTGTCATTAATGTCATTATCCCATTCGCTATTATGAAGAAATGAAGAATGTATACAGGATAAACTTCCATTGATAAAAAGTAAAATTGAATTTTTTGTGTGTTTTTTTTTGGTTTTTGTTTTTTTGAACAATCTATGTTTAAATATCGAGTTTCTTAGCTGATTTCTATATCAAATCACGAATTTGCAGTAAATTCATTCAATTTTTATATTTTAGCTCTTTGGAACTTAGGGAAAAAGAAAATTTAAGTTTTTCTAGTTGCATTATGGCTGGGTTTTTTTTTTTTATAGCTATAATATGAAGGTATAAGATCGCCCGACACTAGGTTTTTTTAAGATTCAGAAATCACTATTTTTAGCGCTCGAAGATCTGAGTAAAAATAAAATTAACCGCTCCTTTTGAATCAAAGCCTATTATTTTCTGGGGAAGTTTATATATAGACCATTTAGTCGCAATGTATGATAATGGGTCACATTATGACAAAATTTCTCATAGAATAATAATGTCTAAATTCTACTTTACCCCCTAAATTACGGGCTGCGGATCAGTCTACCTCCCAAAATATACATAACATCAGATAACATCTTATAAAATACGGAAAAGGGCCAAAAATGTCCTTGAACTATTCGAAATAGCTCAAAAATATCCTCCGTTTGTTTTTGTTGCCAAAAATATTCCTGCCGTCTATGTTTTGGACCACAAATGTCCCTAAACCGTTAGTCTTGCCATTGAAGCTGACATGGCAGTCCAACTAGGTTAGATTTGCTTACATGGCCATCCACCTAAGCAATCCAGAATGACAAAACTATTTTTTCGAGAAAATTATTTTTCTGAAATTTTTTATTAAATTACAAAATCAACATTTATTCCAAAAAAAGAAAAAATATTCGGAAAAATTATTTATTTCAGATAAAATACAAAATCAACACTTATTCCGAAAATAGTAAAAAAAAAATCGGAAAATTTATTTATTTATTAAAATATTATATATAATATACAAAATAAATTATTTTGGAGCATGCTTTAATATATTGTTCCGGAAATTTTTTACCTTTTTCGGAATAAGTGTTCGATCATGAATATTAAATTTCACTTGAAGTTGAATTTCAGAATTTTTGTAAATTTGAAAACTCCAAAATTTATAAGAACTTCGGATGAACCAATTGACACTTACAGTAGAGGTGTGTCTTTTGTGAAGCTATAACTGATAAGTATCTAAATATTTAGATCAAACTAATCATAAATTCAAAAGAGAACAATGGAGTTTTTTAATCAAATCATAAAGCCCAATCAAGAATAATTTTTCCGAAATTTTTTTACTATTTTCGGAATAAGCGTTGATTTTGTATTTTAATAAAAATAATTCCGAAATAAATAATTTTTCTCGAATATTTCTTACTTTTTTCGGAATAAATGTTGATTTTGTATTTTAATTAAAAATTTCTGAATTTTTTTTTTCCGAAAAAATAGTTTTGCCGTGCTGGATTGCTTAGGTGGATGGTCATGTAAGCAAATCTAACCTAGTTGGACTGCCATGTCAGCTTCAATGGCAAGACTAATATATATATGAGATTTAATAATCAATGTCGCTGCATAAAAGTAAAAATATACATATAGACCAAACCAATTCGTTAATAAAGTTTTGACACAATTAAAGTTATGTGATTAAATTTGTAAAGACACTTACAAAATGCAATGTATAGGGTCAAATTTAACCCTCAGTATCTCTACGCCAGCGGGCGCGCCCAATGAGTGTACGCCGACCAACGTAGCGGGTACGACTCGGCCGTGAGGACGAAAGCGGCGTCGTTTAGAACTCAGCGTCTACACTAGAAAGACGTTACCTATCTCTGTAACTTCTTGATTCTTTCGAGGAAGGTCTTCTATTATATAAAGGAGACCTCCACATTGTAAAGAGGGATCTATCTGATCTAATACAACTCTTTCATTTTCTATCTTTCTCTCTCTATATCTCTACTTCCGATTAATATATCTTATGAACATACATTGTCATCCTTCTAACACTGGATCTATAACAAACATTATCATCTTTGCATCTCTAGGATTATTATATTTGATTACGATTTACCCTTCCTCTATTTTTTGATTGTTTTATCGCTTACAAAGTGCATCAACAACTTTTAAGCCAAACAAAGGGAAATAGTACAAATAGAAGATACTACTCTAATCGATAGACCAATAACAACAACAACAACAACAACAACAACATACCTAGTATTATCCCATACCCAATCAAATAAAAAGACTTTTATTTTCCAAATGCTTAATTATATGCTTATAGAACAATGTTAGCAGATTCTATAACAGTTGTCAGTAAAAAAAGTTTTTCAAAATTAAAATTGATAAAATCTCAGCTAAGATTAATAATGTCTCAAGAAAGATTAATCTAACAACTTTGCATTTCAAAAATGGGTGTTGAAAAGCAATTGTTTGAAAAAATTGATTATAAAGATATTACTAACAACTTTGCATTTCAAAATCTAGAAAAATAAACTTCATATATATATATATATATATATATATATATATATATATATATATATAATTTTTTTTTTTTAAATTAGACATCACATTAAATTTGGCTTTAGGCCACACGCGTGCTTGAGTCGCCCCGCTGATGTCTTAGTCAATCTTTTCAAACAAAATTGTCCTTTAGAAACACACTATTAAGTTGATAAAAGATTTTAAACTAAGTTCAGATATAATAAAAATATTAAGTTATGATAAGAATAGAAGTAAATAAAAAATATAAGAAGCTATGATATGGAAAGTATACATTGAGAATAGGAAAAAGGCTTAAAACAATTTGATAGTAATTTATAAAAATCAAATCAAAAGAGGAAAGGAAATAGAAATTCCTCACAAAATTTACATTTCCAGAATCTCTCCCCTTCCCGCCAACGACTAAAGCCTGGAGATTCTTCTTCTTTTTCTTTGACGAAAATACCCCTGCTTGTTCCTGAAACTCATCCCATCATCCGAAGCTAAAACCGTAAATATCCCAAAAAGAGTAACCGCAAGTAGCAGTCGTTAGTAACGAACTTAGCGAAGACTCTTTTCTGTATAACTATAAGCACAGCTCACATTCTTCATTTTCTCGATGAGTTTTCCTTTTTCCGCTCTCTGCAAGAAAAAAATGAAATTCACTGAGATGAAACTCCACGCCATGAATGCTGTGAAAGCGTACTTCAAAAGGGATTGGAAAAGAAGAGATATGATGAATTCTGAGGAAATTCCCCTGTACGCTTACAAATCCTTGAAGAAGGTACAAATTCCCCTTCTTTTTAATCACAGAACTTAAGAATTAGTGTATCGATAAAAATGTTGATTATGAAAAATGTTGTAATTCAATAAATTATAATCGAGAGATTATGAAATCATGTTTTTTCTTTATTGTTAATCTTGTTATTGAAAGCTGATCAGAAGATAATGCTAAATCCCAGTTCTTAAATTTTGATGGTTGATGAATTTCATCGCGGAAGATTCTAAAGTATTACCTAGATAGTCCACCAGTTTGTTTTTTACAATTCAGTAAAGGCTACATGCTATTTGTATACTTGTTCTTAGAGTTCAGTAATAAATAAGGCAACATTCTGCTTACTTTTCTTAATCTTCAGGAATTTCGATTCTCAGAAGATTTTAAAGTATTGCCGTACTTTTTACTTTTATTCTGCACTTGCTTATGCCGTAAATAATAATCTGATAAAATTATTCGAATCAGTTGCTATTGAAGCCTTGCTCGCTATACAGCCTTGAAAGTTGTAACTTGCACACTTTTACTTGATTTATATGAGAGAACTTGACTGATGTAAAATTGAGATAATCATTTTATTTATATTTTGATGTGGATCAATATAATAGTCTAAAAATTGAATTAGTTTAATGTATATTATATTCTTGAAAGCTTGAAGATAGTATAGAAATTGAATGGTGTCAAGTATTTCCTAAAATCCCCAAAATGAAAGAATATCACATAAGTTGGGACGGAGGGATTAATTTGTTTCATGCAATTTCAGTTTCCAGCTTCATATGTTTGATCTTTTCTTTCTTTGTAAACTTACTTAGCTGGAAAATATGTGTTTTTGCTTCTACGGAGTTAAATTCATGTGATCAATAAGCTTTTGATGATAAAACAGGTGTATCTTACCCTTTTCTGTGCCCTGTTGAGCTCTACTGTTGGATCCTTCTTGCATTTGATCTGGGAAGCGGGAGGCTTCTTCACTGTCCTAATTTCAGCTGCAAGTATACTAAGCCTTTACTTTACACCAGCAATGAAAGTGGTACGTGATCGATGACTTGTAGATTTTCTTCGAAATTGATGAATTATTCTTGAAGTCGCTTCTTATTATCCCAAATCTTCTACCTCTGCAGAAAAAGAGGGTCTTATACTTGATGATTGCTGCCTATTCGTTAGGAGCTTCTGTTGGACTTCTTACCGAATATCACTTTGAAATTGATCAAGGGTAAGACTCAAAAGATGTTAAAGCATTGTTCGGATTTCTGTTGTTGAAGTTCTGTAATGTTACTTTTTATTGCTATTTTGTCATTTCATATTACCAGGAACCTGATTTTTGTAGTTCACAGAGAGAGGCTTTCTGTTAATTACTTGTGGTTCCATTATCCTTAGTAACTATAATCATTAGATATATATATATATATATATATATATATATATATATATTAGTCCATATCCTAAATGGAAAAAATGGTATGTTTATCAGCTGCAGAAGAAAACAATGTTTTCCATTTTATTTGAATCTCCTAAATGTTGACTACTGTCGCTGTGAAAATCCTGAAATATGGACTTGTGAGATTTTCCTACCTAAATGTGCTGCTCTCTTTAACAAGATAAGGGCATTGGATTGGATGAATTAACATAAAACATAGTCATTCTCCGAGCGCTCTATATTGCTCTTACGCGGAATAAGATAAAAGTGGCTACTGTAATGGCTATCCTACATGATTAGTTAGGCTTTCACAGTTCAGAATTCGCATAATGTTTACCTTATGAATGAGCAAAACTGAGCAATATGACCAGCATTGGCTGTTAGAATGTTGGGTATTTTAGCAGGTTATAAACTATCGATTATTACCCTGGAATTACTCTCTCTTTCATGGCACTAGGGGATTGGAGAGTTAGCAAAATGTATCTCATAACTATGTGCTTATTTGGAAACCTGAACAAGTTTTTAAGTTCTTGCATTTTCGGCTATAGCGTAAATGTTTTAGCACTTAGAGTTCCAGATTTTGCACTATGTTTAATGAGAAAAATTGAGCAATATGACCAAGATTGTGAAGAGTACTGCATTTGGATATTTTACCCCTGGAGTCTGTTCCAATATGGCAAAGGCATTTGTATTGTTATTGCATATTGATGAATTCAATAGAGGTTACATGCAGCTTTAGTATGTGTCTAAAGATTAGCCTTTGTTGTTCTCTATTCCCTATTTAAATAATGTTCCTAATCTGTGAGTAATATCTAACTTCAGAAAGCATTCATGCTTGTTCTGCAGCTTTGTTTTCAGTTTTTTGGGAGGTACAACAATAGGCTTTGGAACTTTTTGGTTTGGAGCCATGTTAACAAGACAAAGGATCGATCTCTACATCGGTTGCCTCCTTCATTCTTACGCCTTTATGTACCTGTGGTTTGTCACTGCTTCTGACATCTTTGGCGGCCACACAACCCGTTTGATGATAAAGGTAACCAGTCGTAGACTTCTCTCAGTTCCCATGCATATTCCTTAGTTGTATATGAATAAGGACGGATTTAGAGCGAGTTATGCAGGTTCAACTGAAATATTCATTACTTTTGGCTTAAACCAATACATCCATATTGAACCTACTTGACTCTAGTTCTAAATTTGCCTGTGTCTATGAATGGCTTAAACCAATACATCCATAATATGACTGACTTGAACTGCTTCTAATAGGTACTCGCTGTGCTTGCATTGTACATGGGGTACTTTGTGATATATAGCCAAGAGATACTGTACAATGCTCGCTATGGAGATGTTAACTTTGTCAACTGCACGTTCACCGTCTTCTTCCATTTACCAGCTATAGTGGTCCATGCTGCTAGAGTATATCTGGTTGCAGAAATTGAGCACTACAGACAGAATTAAAGCTTTGACGATACAGTAAAGCTACCATTTCGACTTGGGAAATAACTATAGAATAAATAGTAAGTAGAATGCACAGCTTATAAGATGTGAAATTACAAATGATGTACAAATATTCCTCTAACTGTGACTACTACATTTAACTGATTGAATGAGGAATTTATAGTCTGAAGCGAAGTGCTGTGAATATTCTTGGCAAATACTGAGTGTTGACTACCCCATCAGCCACAGATATACTTTGTTTTTTATTCGTGCGATAAAAAAGAGATAATCTACGCGGTACGCCTATTGAAAATATTTTACACCATATACAATTAAAATATTTTTTTTACTCTGCATATCCAAGACTATTTGGATTTTAAAATGATTAGTCCATTACCTACTTAACTGAAAATGAGCAAATTGAACTGTTACAATTTCGATTTTGGGGGTCTCATTTGAACAATATGTAAGAGCTACCAAATTTTACTTTATCGCACCATGTCATATTATTAGTTTTTGTAATGAAAAACTCACTCAACTTAACGAAAGTTAGTAAACTATTTTTTGCACCTAAGGGTGTGTTTGGTATGATGGAAAATATTTTTCGAAAAATATTTTTCCATTTTCCACTGTTTGGTTGTACAAAATAGTTTGGAAAATGTTTTCGTAGATATCACATTTTTTTTGTAATTTCAAATTCTGTTTTTTCGTTATTCTGCACACTATGCCCCTCCCTAAAAAAAATTATATATATTTTCAGTTTTTTCATCTTTCGGTTTACATGTTCAAAATTTTACAAGTTCCAAAGTTATGAGTTCGGGGGTTTATGTGTTTGGAAGATTACGGCTATTTAGAAATTATAAAGTTTACGAGTTCGAAAGTTTAGCAGTTCGGAAGTTTATGAAATTTGTGGGTTCTGAAGGTTGTTGGTTATGAAATATATTCCGTTATACCAAAAACACCCTAAAAGTCACTCAACTTTGCCTAAACATCATATAAGATGTCTCATTCGTTTTCTCCTAGTGACTTTTGATGATACTTGCAAAGTTGAATTGACTCTTTGATTAAAAAGTAATTTAAAAATAATATGAAAAATTATAGATTGAGAGTAGAATGAGGTTTAAAATAATTTGACAATTTAGCAGATGCAAGTACTTAAAAAATTTCAATCATTAAGAAGAATAAAAAAGAAATAAGTAGGAGTAACAGAAATAGGAATTCCCAGCAAATTTGACAAGTATATTCAAACCTCTCTCCTTCCCGCCAAACCTCTCTTCTTTTACTTTGCTTATTTGACGAAAACACCCCTGTAGTATTCCAAACTCGCCCCGTAACTGAAAGCTAAAACGGTAAATACACACTTAAAAGAATAACGGCGTGGGCAGCCGCTTGTAACGAACTTATTAGTAACGAGCTCTCTTCTGTATAACTAACTATCAAAAACAGCTCTCATTCCTCACTTTCCTTGATCACTTCTCCGATTCTGTTTCTCTGAGAAAAAGAAAAAAATGAAGTTCTCTGAGATGAAACTCCATGCCATGAATGCTGTGAAAGCGTACTTCACAAGGGACTGGGAAAGAAAAGACCTAACGAATCAAGGGGAAATTCCGCTATTTGCATACAAATGCTTGAAGAAGGTACATTCATTCTTTTTCTTTCTTTCTGCTTGATAGAAAACGTGAGAATTTGTTCTTCTTCGAAGTTTTTGCGTGTTTGTATCTGCTCTGATGTTTTTCCTCTGTTTTAGTCACTCAATAACTGTTTGGATAAAAAGGTTGAATTACAAAAAGATGTTGTAATTCCTGAAATTTTATTAAAGATTTCTCGTTATTATGATCTTGTTATTGATAGCTGAATAAGATGATGTGAAATCCCAAATCTTATATCTTCAGGATTGATGAATTTTGGTTCTCAGAAGAATTTTCGACTTGTTCAGTTTTTCTGCGATGGCTAAATTGTTTTAGCGTTTGAGTTTTTCTGCGATGGCTGAATAATAATTCTCACTTTTCTTCTGCACTTGCTCCTTATTCAGTCTTGGAAGTTGTTTTTGAGTTAAATTACACGCTCTACCTTAAATTCTATGAGAATATTCGACTGCTGCGAATTTAAGATGTTACATACATTATGATAATGGAAGAAAATATCAAAATAATAGTTGGAATAGTTTGATAGGAAAAAAAAAACATCACAGTGAAGATATAGTTTAACGAATTTGAATTCGTGAACGCTTGAAGGTAGCACATAAAACTTGAATGGTGTCAAATATTTTTAAACATCTCAACACGAAAGAGAATCATATAAATTGGGAAGAGGGATTAATTTCTTTTATATATATATGATCTTTGCTATCTTTGTGAAGCTACTTATCTGAAAAACATGCATTTTCGCGTCTAAATCAAAATACAGATTCACCTACAGGTGTATCTTACCCTCTTCTATGCCCTGTTGAGCTCTACCGTTGGATCCTTCTTACATTTGATCTGGGAAGCGGGGGGCTTCGTCACTGTCTTAACATTTGCTATGAGTATTATGTCTCTACACCACCATTACTAATGGTACGCGATGACTTTATGGATTTAAGTATATATATAAATTGGTGAATTGTTGTTAAAGTTGCTTCTTGTAATATGAAATCTTGTACCTCTGCAGAGGTCGAGGGTCTTTTTCCTGATGACTGCTGCATATTGCTTGGGAGCTTCTGTTGGCCTTTTAACCGAATATCTCTTTGGGATTGATCAAGGGTAAAATATATCTTCAGATTTCAGTTGTTGAAGTTCTCTATTGTTGCTTTTTATCTTGTGACATCATATTATCAGGAGCCGACTTTTGCTGTCTTCAATTATGTAGAGACAGAGGTTTTCTGTTGATTAGATACTTGCGATTCCGTTAGCATGAAACTATTGTTTTCCATCTTGAGTTTGAATATCCTGAATGTCTGACATTGGAATCTTGAGTATGCTGCTCTTTTTTACAAGATAAGGGCATTGGAATTGGATGAATTGACATAAAACATAGTCAGTCATATATTCTTGCAGTCAGCTAAAAGTGGCTACTGTATTATTTACAAATTTGAACAGTAATGGCTATTGTACGTAAGCAGTTAGGCTTCCACAGTTAGAATTCCCAGTATGCTTACCTTATGAATGAGAGAAATTGAGCAATATGACTAGCTTTGTATGTTAGTATCTTGGTTTGTTATTAGGCTCTAAACTAGAGGACTGGACTAGATGGATTGACTAGCTTTATATGTTAGTATATCTACTAATACATATGAGGAATATTTTTTGTTTTGCAGCTTTGTTTTCAGCTTTTTGACAGCAACAACAATAGGTTTTGGCACTTTCTGGTGGGGAGCCATGAACACAAGGCAAAGGAGGCTGTATAATCGTTGCCTGCTTATCTCTGATATCCTAATTTTCATCTGGCTTCAAATTGCTTCTGCCATCTTTGGCGGCCACACTGCTCGTTGGAAGCTTCTGGTAAGCCTACAAATGAACACATGTTTAGCGATTCGATTGAACTCCTTACTGTTGGCTCAAATTATGTATACATATTGTGTTCTGATTGATACGAATTGCTTGTGTTGTGCTTGCATGGTACATGGGGTACAATCTGGTGTATAGCAAAGAAGTGGTATATGATGCTCGTTTTGGAGATATTGACCCTATAAACCGCACATTCACCCACTTGTTCCGTTTACCAGCTATAATTGTCCATTTCACCCGGCTAAGCGTGCGTGCAGCAATTCGGCACTACAAACAGAATTAAAGCTGCTACTACTACTACTACTTCGTTTGGGAACTGTAGAAATAAATAGAATGCTTTAAACTGTACATGATGTGCAAATTGTGACCACTGCATTTTTACTATTGAATTTTGTGAATGGTAGCATGAAGCGAAGTGCTCTGAATACTTCTTGGCAAAATGTGATTGTTGCTCAGTCCATATACATATGGGCCACTTTAATTCCTATGTCCCAGGCCTACCCAGTTATTTTTCATTGGGCTCTTCATTATGAGAGGATTAACAAATAGAAATAAATATAAATAGAATCTCCAACCCATCTTAAATTAGTTGAGGCCGATTATATAATCTTTTGTATCAACTTTTTAAATTTTTCTATGGAATCATCAATTTATCACAACTTTCTCTCTTTATCAGGATTTGATACTAACTACGTTCTGTGAAACCCGCCTAGGTGGAGTTATAGTCGTGCGAGATTCTGATACCACTAACAAAAATATGATAAAGGGAAAATTATAATTTTGTCAATATTTGTTCAATTAGTCATATTTCTACTATTCAACTTGGATGATAATATTTGGCTCAGGGATAGGGGATCTTGAAGTTGGAGGCTGAGCTATGCAACGCTTCAAGTCTCGATGTCACGACCCAAAACTCAACCTGTCATAATGACACTTATCATGGTACTAGGCAAGCCGACTACTCAACATTTCCAACACTTTCGACTTTGAAATATACGAAAATCTCATAAAACGGGTTAGAATATCATAACTCAATACATAAGTTTTCCCATAACTCAATATTTACAAGAATTATTCAATTTATTATACCTTGATAATATAAAGAATTTTTAGGTTATTAATCTAATCTGTAGGAGCTAAGTAATCACCTTATCTTTTAGATTATTAATCACTTTTTATGATTATTATCAATGCCGGACCTGCTTATTTGTTTGGATTTTACAGGGGCAGATTTATAGCCCAAATCATGGGGCATGTAAACCTATGGTCTCTCCGTGAATTAGGTATTTTATATATGTATTTTCTAGAATTGGTATAATATTATATGTTGGCACCCATGCTTTAAAAGCATGAATAGTACACTTGGTAAAATATTGGGTTTTTTATCCAAAAGACATGGATCAATTCCTACTTAATACATTTTTCTACTTTTTTTAGTTGTGCATCTATGCTCAAAAAATCCTAGATCCGTCTCTGGAATTTTACTTGTTTGGACAGTCTTACTTAGAAGCCCAAATAGTAAAGCAGACCCATGCA